AAAAAGGTCTCTCAAAAATGACAGACCGTCAGATGTGTAGATCGTAAAACGGTCTAAAATCGTCATATCTCCCAGCACTAATGCCTGGGCCTCCATCCGCTGTGCTGGACACACACTCCAGCTCCTAATGAACACTGCTCTCAAAGAAACCTGCATCAGCAGAGCATTAGGTGCTGCTAGGCAGCTAGTGGAGCACTTCAACAAAGTAGAGCTGGCAAGTACAAAGCTGAAGATGAAACGGGAGCAAATGAATGTGAAAAAAATATTCACTGATCCAAGATGTCAGCACAAGATGGAACAGTACATTCCACATGATAGACAGACTCCTCGAACAGCGATGGCCTCTCGCTGCCACTCTTTCAGATCCTGAGGTGAAACCAAGAGGGAAGCAGTACATCGACTTGAAGCCAGAGAAGTGCTTGATGAACTCAAGAAAGTGTTGGTGCCTTTTGAGACCGCTTCTTTTTACCTTAGTGGTCAACAGTACACAACCATTTCAGGTCTTCCACAGTTCATCGAAGGTCTGACACGGTCTGTAAACCACAGCCAATTTCAGACAAGCTCAGGGAAATCTTCCAGTGCAGATGCAGAAAAAGGGATAAAGCAGAGATGGGGAACATCTGTACTGTTTTTGAAGGGAAAGAAAACATGGTTGTTCTTGCAGCTGCCTTGTACCCCAGATACAAAAAGCTAAAAATGTATGGCTCCTGAAGATGTCATCAGAGTGCAAGGGACCATTGAAGTTTTTACCGGTAATGTGCATGCATGTTTAGAAGAAAAGAACAGCGCTGACACAGAATTAATAAACCCTGGATGATTAGAAAATAAAAACTGCACACAAAACATGCCTGGTTAGTAAATAAAACACACTTGCCTTCGAGAAAGTCATTGGCTCTCATCTTGCTCTTGTGCACTAAAACCATTAAAGTACTCTTCTTCAGTGTCGGAGTTGAACAGCCTCAAAAGAGCTTCGTCACATACCTTTTCTGTGGTGATGTCAGTGTTGCTGTCATCATCCCGGGTGAAGCTGGCTTGAATGAATTCTTCCCGTTGCCGTCTCCAGCGCCGACAATTACGACACGTCTCACCTTTATGTTAATATTGTTTTATTTGATGCACTCCACTTTGAACTGCACCAATCCAGCGACTGCTGCATTGTAATAACTAGTATTAAAGGTGAGTACACCAATATTTGCACAAGAATAATTTCTGTTTTAAACTCTCAGTGACACACTTTGCAGGGGGATTTGGCATTTAATTTTTCTTGGCGTCTGGAAAAACATCTTCTTTTGCCCCCTTTATTTGACTTTCTGCCCCCTTTATATTGGTCCAAGATCATTACTGGGCTGGCCCCATTAAAAACGTTCTACACCCCTGCTTAGTAGACTTAATGAAGTATTTTTAAGCCAGTATAAAAATGACTGAAACACAAATTTACATATTTGGCATTATTGACCAATATTTTTGATTTGATTTATTTGTTAAGAACATCATGATGCATTACAGTGAACATTATAATGAGCTGGGCGGACACTGTGCGACTTTTTCACTCGTAACACAGCTTCAGCTCAAACTGTACGACTTCAGCGCAGGGTAGATATCACGAGTCATGTGCTCACACTGCACGTCTGGTAGCAACACATCGGACCTAAAAATATGTTAAAAATAGCAGTTTTTACTCAACACGTCAGACTTTTTTGTCTTGTTTTTCCTGTTGTCCTTCGGGAGTGCTGCAGGAGGACACACAGGGATTTATGGGGGTTGGATGAGGAAACGAAATAAAGAAAGTAAATCTGTGTTTTGTGATCAGTTTAATTTGACATGAACACGACAACCACGCTTTCTTGACAATCATTGTGAGTAAAAAAACGTGTAGAAATAAAAACGAACAACATGTGTTATTAGGGAAATAGCGGGTGAGCGGAGTTGATGCAGGATTGCGAATGCGCCGTGAGCGGTTCTGATACATTTTGGGTCGCAGCTGCTCGCTGCACCGCTTCAACCCTCATGAGGAACGAGATAAATACCAAACACGCCAGAAGTCCGTGCGAGCTCACGATTGCTGATCGGTAGCTGGTCACGTTGTGTTGATCGCCTCTCGTAACCCCCTGTACACTACACGACGCTCAGCGCTAAACTCGCCCCGATCTTGTGGATTCTCGCACGAGTGGAAAATCTGCTCAAAAAAGTGAAAATGTCGCACAGTGTACGCCCGGCTTTACTGTCTGTGTGTGTGCGTTGATGCCTGGGCCGAGCTGACGGAGCTCCCGGCTGCATTTTGGTGTGTAGGGAGGGGCGGGCGCTCTATCTGACTGGCCAATCACAGAGCGTGAAGACAGTCAGTTACCCAATGAGGATTTCATTCAGCACGATTACAGATATTCACGAGTTTTACACTCGTTTCTTGCTCGTATTCGTCAAAAATGCTTTATCCGTACGCTCATAGCTGTAACCACCCTGCCCTGCCTCCTCCTCCTTGCTACCTGCCAGCTGTGATCACAAGCAACAACACAGTAGTTCCCGCTGCTTCTTCGGGAAATGGCGCAAAAAAAACCCCAATAAAACTTGGGATGTTGTAGGCGTGGCGGTGGGATTTCAGCCGTGGCGGGCCGCCACGGCTACGCCTATGTAAGGGAAACCCTGCACATTATAAGCCGCATGGTTCAAAGCGTGGGAAAAAAGTAGCGGCTTATAGTCCGGAAAATACGGTAGTTGAGAAGTCTGCTCTGGATGCTCTTCTTCAGTCCGATACAGAACGTGATGAAGGGTCCAGATAGTGAGAGGGAAAGTTCAGGTGTATTTTGGAGAAGCTGCGATTTCTAAATCTTTAATCTTGAATCTATTTATGAAAATTTTATAATTTTATGACTTTATTTTCCTGATGTTAATCAAATTCTGTTTTGGGAGCGTTTTGATTTTATAATGATAATCTATTTATGATTTTATGACTTAGTTTTATTTTATTTTTATCTAAATCAAGCAGTTTGTGATTCTGTCTGTGATAAATGCTATATAAATAAAATGTACTTACTTACTTACTAAAGCTGTTTTTACAGGACCATAGCGTTTGCAAAACAGGATTTGTCGCAGCTCCCTGGGGAGGATTTTGGCATTTATAGTAGCAAAGCTGAAGCTAGAATAAACTGCTATCAGGCACCTTTCAAATCAAGATGGGATGAAGGGAGGTTGCTGGGCGGCCCCACCAACATTTGACGTACAGGGTCGCGTATTCAGTGTCAGACGGAAGGCACGTCAGACTGATGAAATTTATTTTTCAGGACCTTTAGCTTTGATGTGACCTGCTTTTTGTCCTGCTTGACGCCCCGCTCAGCCAGTGTTTTCAGCACTGTCGAACAGCTGGCTGTCTCTCACCTTCCCCGTAAAAAGGTGAGTAATCTGGTTGTCCGCTCGCACGGCCAAAAGCTCCATGGTCTCCGCGTCCGTCCAGTTTGCCATGTTGTAGGTGGTTGAAAGATACTAGTGAGAGGCCATAATTATCTGTGTTTATATCCCTTCCGGTCTGCACTCGGCGAGCAGTATACGTCACTAACGAGACCACCCTCTTTTGCGGGGGGGCCTCCCACAGTCGCTTCAAAGGGATTAGCGGGGCTGACACGCGTTTAGCCGTCAGAGTCGTGGGGCTCATGCGGCAATATTACTACGAGGCTAAGCGCATCAGAATCGAGTTTTATCACCTTTCTCCTTTGCTCCTCTCCGCATTTACGAGACCCACAAATTTGGATTTATCACTCTGTAATGACGCAAGGGTCTGTCTTATAAAAGAGGCTTAAGAGAGATGATCTTCTCAAATGGTGGAGTGAAAATGAAGGCTGTTTCCCCAAACTTTCTAAGCTGGCTGAATCTTTTCTGTGCATCCCTGCCACTTCCACCCCATCTGAGCGGATCTTCTCTGCAGCTGGGAACATCTGCTCTCATGTTAAACATGTTATAATGCTATCTTTCCTGACTGTAAACCAGAACCTTGTGTGACTATTTTAGCAGGATACATTTCAGTTTGTGAGCACGTCATTTTTTTATTTTTAGTTTTAGTTGCCTACATCCATTTGACATTGTAGCACTTGTATTAACATGTTACAACAACAAAGTTAATAAAAGTTGTTTGATAAGCAATAAACTTGTCTTTATTTTTAGATGGCACAAAACTTCAAACTAGAAGCTAATGATGGGTATATAGAGCATCGTAGTGAGTGCAATAGGCTAAACTTCAGAATTAGAAAGTTTTATTGCCATATGTGAGAGAAATTAGAACATTAGGGAATTGCTGCAGTACTTTAATGTATGACTCACGATAAGTCGACTAATCGTCAACAAAACTTGTCATTAGTCGACTTATAAAATAATTATTTGTGGCAGCCCTAAAGTTTATCTAAATCAGTCATGTTGTGGCCAAGCCCCCATAATTTGGGTCTGAAAATGAAGCCAACACAGAAGTGAAATAAATTGCAGTTCCACCCTCATCTACAGGGGGCTGGTGTCAGAAGCGAGCAAATCCTCATTGACTCCCATGTTAAAAATACCAATTTCACAGCAGAAATAAACATGTTTACAGCCTACTACTACTACTACTACTAAACTTTACTAAACTTCACATGGCCCAAGGACCAAACAAAGTGCTACACAGCAGAAATAAACATAAAAAAATAATAAAAAACATATAAAACCATTTAAAAACCAACAAAAACATGCAGATAAAATCTAGGTGGGGCAGCAAAAAAGTGCAAAACCATCCGTTAACGAGGCTCTTCTTGAATAAAAGCTAAAGAATAAAAGTGTGTTTTCAGCTGGCTGTTAAACTTGCCGAGCGTGGTGGCCTGTTTAACACATGTAGGTAGCTCATTCCAGAGCCTCGGCCCCAGCACCGAGAAAGCACGACCCCCTCGAGATTGTAGTCTGTGTTTAGGAACGACCAACAGTCCTTGTTGTGCTGACCTAAGGTTCCTTGCGGGAACATAAGGATGGATCAGATCCGATAGATAACGTGGAGCCAACCCATTTAATCATTTAAAAACAAACACCAAAACTTTAAACAACATTCTAAAAGAGACTGGAAGCCAGTGTAGGGATGCCGAGACAGGCGTGATGTGTTCTGATCTCCTGGTACCAGTCAGTAACCTGGCTGCCGCATTTTGGACCTTCTGTAGTTTTGCTATGGAGGCCTGCTTGATGCCTGCATAAAGTGAGTTACAGTAGTCCAGTCTGGTGGTAATGAAGGCATGGATGACCGTTTCCAAATGTTTACGTGAAAGAAGCGGCTTAATCCTAGTTATTCTCGAGATGGAAATAGCAGGATCTGAGTGTTACATTGACCTGGCTGTCCAGTGTGAGCTCAACATCCAACTTCACCCCCAGGTTGGTGATCACAGCCTTCTCAAAAGGTGCTAATGAAGGAGAGTCAATCCCTTGGCCACATCCATGTTTGTATTTCGGGCCGAACAGGATAGTCTCAGTTTTATTCTGGTTGAAGAACAATAAATTCTGAGCCATCCATAACTTGACCTCCTCCAAGCAGTCCAAGAGCGGTTTAAAAGAACTTGTTATTGCATGATACAGGTAAATAGATTTGACAGTCATCCGCATACAGGTGAAACTTGACGTTGTGCCGACGAAACAAGTCACCCAGCGGCAGCAGATAGAGGGAAAAGACGAGCGGTGCCAGGACTGATCCCTGAGGCACTCCACATTGCAAATCAGCAGTATCAGATGAACAGTCCCCCAGTCTTACACAAAAATTCCTCCTTGACAGGTAAGATTTTATCCACTGGAGTGCTAAGCCTGATTCCAAAACGTTTTAGGTTTAATAGATCTAGTTTACACTCATGACAACTCTGAGGGGGATGAAAGATTTTGTCACTTTTCTGTTTTAGTGTATTAAATGCCTAAAATTCTGAATAATTAATGAGCCACATGACCGCAGAGCTAGCGCCGGCGAAAGACAGCCTGAGCCTCGGCCACGCCTGAACACTTTTCCACGATTTTCTGTCTCTCAACTTAGACCATTAAGTTGTAGCGTTTGTGCATTATTTTTTGGATATTATTTGTGCAATTGTTGGACAAAATGACTTGCTGTGGTATTAATTCCACTTCATTTTTTTCTGTAAATAAAATTATATTTATGTATTTTAGGTCACTGCCGCTCTTGCGCTAGCTGAGCTTAGATTTTAACATGTACTTTTTAACCATGAAATTTAAATGTAATAGGGTAAAACCCAGTGCATTTAACATAACGCTGCATTTTAGAAAATGGGTTGAAATATAACATGTTGGTGGAGCTGGGTTCCGACTATCGGTATGGTCATCTCCCCGCAGCTCGGCGCATCTCTGATCGCTGCGGCATATGTCTGCTGCGCGGGCTACCGGCTTGTGGAGCTCTCGGATGGAAACCGATGTTTTCCACCCGGTTCTCCCCAGCAGCAGCTCTGCACATCTCTGATCGCAGCGGTGCTTGTCTGCTGCGTGGCTGCTGGCTTGTGGAGCTCTTGGGAGACCTCTGTTTTCCACCTGGTTTTACCCAGCGGTCAGCCCGGCGTATCTGTGACTCAGAAGCTCTGGTGTTGTGCACAGTCAACTCCGGTTGTAGCTAGGTTGCTACCTCCGTTAGCTTAGCTCCCACCTCCGCGTTAGCTTTGGGTTAGCTTGGAACTACATCGCTTCAGTTCAACGGGTGTCGTCATTTGATCCCAGCCTTATTATTGGAGCCTAAATGTATTATTGGAGCCTAAACGAATTGTCCAGTATATATGTCAATGGTATTAATATTTTACAACAACAAAGTTAATTAAAAGTTGTTTGATAAGCAATAAACTTGTCTTTATTTTTAGATGGCACATAACTTCAAACTAGAAACTAATGATGGGTATATAGAGCATCGTAGTGAGTGCAATAGGCTAAACTTCAGAGTTAGAATGTTTTATTGCCATATGTGAGAGAAATCAGAACATTAGGAAATTGCTGCAGTACTTTAATGCAGGGATTCCCAAAGTGTGGTGCGTGCACCCCTGGGGGTGCACGAGCTGCCGCTAGGGGGTGCGCGAGGTGAAAAGTGTAATGGCTGCGGAGCTCAGAGAAGTCTGTCATATGTCACCATTAGCGTAGCCAGAAACTCATTTGTGGGTGGGCCTAAGAAAAAGTAAGTGGGCACAATAAATGTAATTGAAAACAAGTATATTTTTGCGCGTGTGTCCTCCACATGTGCCCTAGCTTCATAATAACAATGTGCCGAGCTTCAGCACTCTGGCCTGCGCACGCCGATATGTTCCGTATTTGATCATTTTTAACGGTGTTGGAGGAATCTGAAGGTGAGTCATTCTGGCAGATTGTAATTAACACCCTGTCTCAGGCAGATGCTCTGACATTGTAAACCTCACACACAGAACATTGTGGATGTAACCAAATAAATCAAGAAATGATTCCCATTCAGGCTATTAACAGCGCGCTGAAGATCTGAAGCTCAGAGTGCGTCTGTCAGAGGTCAGACGCGTTCCAGCGGAACCACGGCTCACGGGTACACAAGTGAGCACATCTGGGCTGGGCAGAAGTAATTTTACAACATTGGTTTAAATAGCGCCGATAACGAGACGCGGTGACTGGAGCGGCTCATGGAGCTGTGCCGCGCGCGCACACAAACACAGAGATTCAATAAGCGCGCATGCCGCACAAACTCCGGCGCGCCGTCAGACTGAAGACAGAAATGAGCGCTGCCTCCTCTGTGATAAAAACTTTTAAGAGGTTTTATAACATTTTTCATTAATATAATATTCCATTTGACAATGTTTCAAGTGTAATGAGACCGTGGTCTGCTGCTAAAATATGAGACAAAACAACAAAATGATGAGGCTGAAATGCCAGACTCTTGTTATAAAAGGTTCTATAATATGTATTATATTGGTGTTGTCTAGTTCCCCGTTTCACATCTGATATTTAAGCTTGGTTTATGCTTGACGCATTCACTTTCCGCGCTGTGATGCGGCTCGCGGATGGAACGCGCTTCACAACTCGCAGCGTTTATGGTTTGTGCGGCTTGTCTCTGCGGTGAGCCAATATTCTCCCAAACTGAACGGGGCAGCATGGAGCTCTACGGCATGCATCCAACACTACACCATAGTAGAAGTAGAAATTACTGTTTACAACATGGCATTCCAGCATTTTTAACAGCGTTCTCTTCTTTTCCGACGGTGCGAGCTATTTCTCTGCAAGAATTATTAACAACATGTTGATCCCGGTGATCTCTGAGAGCTGAATCATACAAATGTCTGTATTTACGAACCACTGCCATACTAGTTCTTGCCGGTCCGCCATGTTTTTCCGCGTCCGACCATTGGCGTGGTCAGAAATTTTCCGAGGTGCGCGTTGCGGAAATCTTGGGCCGTGCGGAGACGCGGTGGAGGGGCGTGGTTGTTAAAATGACGCAACTTTTCCGCGCGGAGCCGTGCGGACCTCGCGGACGCGTCAAGCATAAACCAACCTTTATAGTTAGATATTTTATTAAAAAAATGTGCCTACATTTCAATAACATTTTAGCGTATCGTTACCCCGTATACTACACAACGCTCAATGCAAAATTCGCCTTGATCTTGTAGATTCTTGCACGAGGGGAAAATCGGTAAAAAAAAAAAAAGTGGAAAAGTCGCAGTGTATGCCTAGCTTAACAAGGTAAAAGGTTATCATGAATTAGACTTTTTTTGATAATTTGGGTTTTATCTTTGACCTTGTGTCGGTGTACTCAACAATAAACAGACTACCGAACGAAGGGTGGCAAGTTTATGAAGGCGTCCAGTCAAAAGAAGAAAGATTTTCTTTTTGGTGATGGTGACCTGAAAGCATTTTATTATCTTCTATGGATATTTACTAAATCAGATAATGTAAAAGATGTTGTTTCTTCTATACTATCAAATGTTTTATTCATGATTTACTCTTAACCCTCACACTGTTATTCAGTCGAATTTTGTAACTCGCTGATAGCATTTTTTAATGAAAAGATTTAAAAAAATCTCCAGGGTATGGGCTCATCCTCTGGTGTCTTTGTCTCTGATGAACACTTTCCTCTGACATCCACATTCTCAGTTTGAGCTTCCTTCTGCTTCTGAGATTGCAGACCTTATCCGTAGCTCCAAATCTTCCACTTGTCTTCTGGGTCCCATCCCTACTAGTTTACTTAAAACTTCTGTGTCGGCCTTGCTTTCACTTATTGTATCAATTATCCACTCCTCTCTTGTTACTGGTGATGTCCATCAGTCACTGAAGTCAGCTATAATTAGCCCTATACTGAAAAAATCTGGGTTTGATCCTGATGACCTAAATAGTTTAAGACCCATTTCTAATCTCCATTTTCTTTCAAAAATCCTGAAGAAAACTGTAGTTTCACAGCTCCGTTGACATTTAACTCCCAATAATCTATTCGAACAGTTTCAGTCAGGTTTCCTTCCTCATCACTGTACAGAAACTGTCCTCATCAAAATAACCCTAACGATTTGCTAATGGCAGCTGATTATGGACTAATTTCCATTGTGGTTCTTTGGATCTTAGCGTTGCTTTTGATACAAGCTATCACTCCACTCTGTTGGCTAGGTTGGCATCTCTGGGGGTTTCTGGTATGGTGCTCCTCTGGTTCTACTCTTATTTCACTGACAGGACTCAGCATAGCAGAACTGCCTATGGCTTTCTCCCGGATCGTGGATGTCAACCTTTGCTCTAAGGTTGTTCCAGATTCGTCTGGCCAATCTCAATGCACCTTCATTCAAGATGTTTAAGTCCATGTGTGGCAACAGTGACGTACAGTTCTGTGGTTGTTGTTGACAGCATTTTTGCCATATTTCTGCACTGTAGACAGACACACCAGCTGGGTGACTGTGGAGGACAAGATCCAGGTTGAGGGTGATCAGGGGTGAGACTCATCAGATCAAAAATTAGACTAGGTTCCCGTGTGAGATATCTTTGTAGAAGCTGTTGGCACTCTTCTAGCGTCAGTCTCTTTATCCTAGCCTGTGAATGCAAAATCACACTTTTAAATTGTTGTGCTTGGCTAATAGACTCATAAAACTTTCAAATACTACACGTTACATGCATAAGGAACTTGAGTGCAAAATGTTTGGAATAAAATGAAGTATATTCACAACATTTTTCTGTGTATTCACTGTAGCACAATGTAACTCATAATGTTGGATGGAGCAGAGTATGTTATGAATATGCTAGAATAAATCCACATAACATATTTCACACATTCAAATCATACAGGTTAAATATTTGGACTCGTAATGGAGCAAATCAAAAATAAAGGCTTTGCTTTTGGCCTTTTTTTGCACAAAATTATGATAAGTTAGTAGTTAGATATGCACACATACCTCTTAAACTGCCACCAACTGTTGCCGGAGTTGTTGGACCCTTTCTAAGTCATCCCGTGTAAGGTCAGCGAGCAGACCCCCACGGGTTCTAGCTTGACCTTGAACTCGGCCTCTTCCTCTGACACGGCTGCCTCCTTCCTGCTCTCGGCTCCCGCGGGTTGTTGAAGCTGTCGCTCTTCCGGCCCTGGATCATCTCACTCAGTCTCTAGGTGCACTCCTCATCCTGGATCTTGGTCGGGATGGACCGGGCACAGGCTCGTATTCTGTATCGGAACCAACAAGACTTTCATCAGGAAAGCTCTAAACCAATCAGCAAAACAATCAGTGCGTTTACATGCTGCCAGTAACCCTTTTAAAACCCGGATATTCGCAATAACCCGGTTCGGCACGGCCATGTAAACACCGTCAAAAACCCGGATTTGCTCATAACCGGGTTTTTAAAAACCCGGTTACTGCACCTGGGGTAACCCTTTTCTAACCCGAATGTTTGGTCGTGTAAACGCATATCGGGATATCCCCATCCGAGCGTGTGTTCTGCGCTTGCTCTGTTCGCAAGGAATCTTGGTCTTTTGAGTAGCGACACATCTTGTATGCGCCAGAATACCGGAAGTAAACAATTGGGAGCAACATGGCGAGTCGCGGCACAGCACCACACTTTTGGAGTGACGAGGAAACCTCTGTGTTCATCGGTCTGGTGAAAAGTATGAATGTTATGTCTTTCATAGACGGCCGAAAGTACAGAGGCAGCGAAATCTACAAGAAGGTAACCGAAAAGTTACGCGAAGCGGGGTTTGTAAGGACACCAGACCAAGTGAAGTACCGCTGGAAGACGCTGAAAAAGGCCTACTACAAGGCGAAGAAACAAAACAGTACTAGCGGGTCCAATCCATCTTCTTTTCCACAGTTTGATTTAATGGACGACATTTTGGGCAATAGACCCATCAGTACAGCTGAAGAAAGTGGGGTAGATATTGGATTTGAGGACGTACAGGAGCAGTCAACCGACCAGCAAGGTAGGTTTGCGCGCCTTCTCCAAGCACAGTAGCTACGTAACTTAGTCCCACATTGTTAGCACCATTGTTATAATAAATAGGAATGTAACTAATTTGTAACACAAATGCTGCCTAACATGCACTGCCCCAGATTAATAATTATAGTAAACGTCACATAAATGTAAAGTCTGTTTGTTGCTGTTTTGTGGTTTCACGATGTGTAAAAAGACATCTTTTTTTTATTATTATTTCATACGAATTGTATTAATGCTATTTTACAGACAGTTATGGAACGCTTGACCAGACAGACGCAGCCACACCTACAGCAAGCGATACAACAAGTGGAAGTGGCTCACATCTTGAAGGAGAGGATGATGATGATGAAAACACAGGTAAGTCACATGACTTGCTCAATCCAATACGTATGCCAACAAAGGGCTTCGCTCTCGGAGGTAGATACATGCGTTGACCCATCTGTGTTTAACCTATCAGTAACATCGTTTTTAACATCAAGCTGTAACATTTTGCTTGTTTTTATTTCTGGCCAGATGCAAATATTGGAGAAGGTGGACCTTCAATGACTGTGCCTAGCCAGTCTACACCGCCATCAAATACCACTGCAGCTACTCCTGGTGAGCTTTCGAAATACTGTTACTGAAGGCATAACTGGTTATAGCGTATTGTAACCCCAGGTCACTCCTCCTCCTTGTGTAATGTCTGAAAATAGTACCTTTCTTTAGTGGATAATTTGATTGCAGTGATTATGAGATATTATGTAATATAACCGTGGACCCAAACTAAGGACTATTGTCACTTTTGCATTCTTAATAAACTCAGAATTGTAGGGAGATGTTTATGATGCAGGCGCAGGTGACATTCTGACACGTCACCTACAGGTAAAGAAACATCTTTTAGAATCCACAAGTTTCATAAGAATGCAAAAAGTGATAATAGTCTAACACTAAGATCGAACTTACCCAACACTTTCTAAGGCCTGTCATGTCTGCTCTAGGTGGGTCAAGTCGCAGGTTCAGGCACCGTGGAGCTGCTTCACTGACTCAGCATCAACAGTTCTTGGTGACAATGCAGCACACGCAGAACCAATGGTTTGAGCAGCAACGGCAGTTGAGACAAGCCAGTGATGAGGCATTCATGTCTCAAATGTTTTCTGAATCGACCCGTTCAATGGGTTTGGTTGTTACACAACTCCTCACAGGGTTAGGTGCATTATTCCAGCGGCCAACTCCTCAACCCATGTTTAGTAATTCTCATTCACAGCCTATGTTTCAGCCATACAACAACCATTTTGATAACAGGCAACCACCTGCTCCTCCACATCGATTTCCCTATTCTCATAACAATCAGCCTGAACATGATCACAGCGAGGACCAAGATTCTACACCATTCTGCCAACTGTAGTGTCCCACCTTATAATCCATTCATCTATTTGACAGTTGTTTTTGTGCATTTCCTATGAAGTTTGTTGTAGAAAATTATTTTTGTGAGAATTTTAAACTTTGCACCTTTTTTGCAGCTTTTGTACACCTTCTTTTTTTATTATGTAACAAACATTTTCAAAAACTCTTTGTTCCACATATGTGCAATATTTTTACATCTCGAGCCTTGCTCTGCCATAGTAGTTGATGTATTTATTCTCTATTATGGAAGGATAGGTGCGCCATAGCGCCTTACTTGAACCTCTGTTTTACCTCACATGTAAAAAGCAAAACCAGAATGTTATTTTGTTATGTGCTTTATTAAAGAACCAATGTTTTATTAAACTTACTAGAAAACTTGTATTTGTTGACATTTTATTTGAGCATTGCATATAACTGTTCTTTTTCAGAAGTGCACAGCAACAAAGGAGAAGGCAGATAAACATCTTATAAAACTTAGAAAATACAGCTGTTTGACAAATATCGAGCTTACAGTTTAACGTTGTTTGTTTCCTATCAGACCCGTTCGTCCTGCACACTCATGCTCTTACTAAGCGCTTACGGAGTGGGACACGTGCAGCAAGGTAATCTGTTAAGGCCCGTCTGATAGCTGAGGCTGCACTGTTATCAGCCCTATTTACCTGTGACACAGGCTGTGGAAACAGCCTTTCTACTGATGTGGCCTCCTCTGCCCATCTGGGATTAACATGCTCCTTCTCCATCTCACAAAAGTTGTGTAGAGCACAACAGGTTGCTACCACGTATGGTGTGAAAGTGAAATGGAAGTCACTGCGCTTCAACAGAACACGGAAACGAGATTTCAGTCGACCAAATGCTATCTCTATAGTTGTTCTAGCAGAACTCAAATAGACGTTAAAGCTTTCCTCTTGTGGTGTCAGTCTTGGGGACTGCAGATAGCCCTTCATTAGCCAGGGCAACAGCGGGTACGCAGGATCTCCCAGCAGGAAGAAATCCACATCCTGCCCCTCGATCTGCACTGCTCTCTAAAGTGGGACAGATAGAAATATTATTCTTCCTAAATTATGTCATAATACATCTTAGATATGTGGCAGGTATGCAACTTGCATTTAAATACCTAAAGTTTTAATGCATTACCCACCTTTGGGAAGGATTGTGCATTGTTGAACAGATTTGACTGGCGGAGTGCATTGGCGTCATGTGCTGAACCAGGCATTTTGCAGCTCACACTCCAAAAACTAAGGAAAATGTTTCACAGTGAATCAAGATGTAGTGGGAGCGGTGTGATTAGTGGCAAAAATTAGGAAAATTATTTCAGATCAGTAATGACAGAATTATTTGTACATATAACCTGTTGATGTTTTGTTGAACAGAGAACCTCTCAATTGATGTTTGTGAGTGGTTCTAATATAGCTTAGTGATGTGTGTCTGTCAAAATTATATACAAATCATAATCATGGATAAAAAAGCTGGGAATGGCAAAACACCTACCAGTATTTGTCATCACAGACTCCCTGGAGGACATAGGATGGCCATCCCTTCCTGTTTATGAAGTCTCTGTAGCCATCACTTGGAGGCAAGCAAGGGATGTGGCTCCCATCCACACAACCTATGATAAAAAGTAAAAAACAATTAAAAAAGTAAAAGTATGCACACAGCAGTGTAGCCTACATACATAGTATAGTTCACATTTAGCCTACTCAGAAAACTATTGACATTAACAAGACATAAGAGCAGGAAATATTTTACCTATGATTTGAGGAATGGAGTGGGCACGTTCAAATCTTTGTGCAATGCCACATGCCTCCTCCAAAGTGGGTACCCGGATCAGTGTTTTGATGACAGAGTCGACCATTCCGTGGCAGAATAGGTACACCATCTTCTTCACGGTGCTCTTGTGCACTCCAAATTGGTTTGCTATCAAACGATACTCGGCACAGCTTGCTAGTTTATACAGCACCATTGCAACGCGCATTCCTGTAGGCACTGGTGTGCGGATGGTTACTGCGCTGGGCTCCATCACTCTTTCCATCATACCACAAAGTTTAGCAAAAGATTGACGTGACATACGAAAATTCTCACGCCAATCCGTGTCCGTGAACTCCATCATTACAACCCGCTCCCACCAGTCCTGGCTGCGCACCTTCATCCAAAGTGTCCGCGGGGCTCTGGTGGTAACGGGTACCCTCGACATGTTGGATATGTTTAGCGCAGCTCTCTCTATATTTGCAATTTCTTCCTCACATACTCTCCTTCGAATGACGGCCAGTACGCACAGTCGTTGTAAGAGCTGCTGGTGGGTCAATACCAGCACTAAAGCGCAAACAAACGCGCTCGCTATCTCTTCCGAACTGGGAAACATGTTGTTGTTTTCTCGGACACCGGAACAAGATGACCTGGAAATGACGCATATTGCGTCTTGACGCCATCCATACGTCCTGACGCTACCCCAAAGTCCGCATTGAAAACGGGTTATGCAAATTGGGGTTGCCTCTTTCTTGTAAACGGGTTATCCCGATCAACTCAGAAACCCGAAAACCGACCTTAACCCGATCATAACCCGGATATTGGCTGCATGTAAACGTAGTCAATATAACTTATATGCTAATTGATAGCTTTTTTTTTGTAATGCTATAGTTGGCTATGAAGTAGGGCCCGACCGATATGCTTTTTTGGGACCGATACCGATATAAAACTTTTAACAAAGGCCGATAGCCGATATAATGGCCGATAAATCTCCCTCACAAAAAAGAAATAAAAAATAAAAATGTTCTTAAGATTAAACCCTTCATTCTCTGCCTTTTTGATGCTAACTTATTTCTCTATTG